AATGAAAAATTGAAAACTCATATTCAAAATGTTGATGTTTACAGTAAAACCTGTTCTCAATAACACATAAATCTTCCTAAATGAGAAAAATTCTTTGATTAGTAGTGATTTTTGGTGTTAAAAAACTTTTTGTGCTGTAATTTGAAAAAATTGTAGACCTATAAATTCCTACTGTCATCCGTCCATCTGTCTTTTCTTAATCTCGAGAACAGAGTTAGATAGATGAATGCTAAGACCAGATATGGAAAGTTTATGAGCAGGAGACCCTGAACTACATGACCCTACTAAATTATTCTCCAGAATTAAAAACAGACACTTCCAAAAAAAAAAAAAAAAACAAAAACCAGAAGAAATCAACAATGTCGTTTATCAAATTCTGTGTACATGTAGCAGCACCACAAAATACTATATAGGTCAGGCATGGCCAACATATAGCCCATCTAATGAATTTATGTGGCCCACGATCAATCTTTCAATATTAGCTACTCACATCTGAATAGCTCTATGAAAAATTCTGACACCTAAAAGAAAGAAAGAAAAAAAGGTCAACAACTCATTGTGTGTTTAGAGTTAACCCTCCATTACAAATCTCGTAAGTACAGTGTAGAGTATTGATAAAGCATGATAATGTGAAAAATGTATCTGTAATCTCTATCTACAATTTAGTCTCTATGGGGTGACACCACAATGAGATCTTGCACCACCTCAAAATCTTCCTAGGGCAGCCTCTGGTTTAGCCCATGAAAAATGTTTTCTTTCCAATTTGGCCTGGGGGGCAAAAACTGTTGGCCACCACTGATATAGGTAAGAAAAAAATGAAGATTAGACTTAAGGAGCATATGACATTTAAAATATGACAGAAACAACTCTATAATTTATGAACACTGTACACTAAACAACTGCAATATAGATTCAAATAATGTAAAAATCTTACAAAAAGAACAGGATACATACAGCAGAAAATTTAAAGAAAGCATAGAGATCTTAGGTAATAAAAACAGCATAAATAAAAATCTCAGTGTTACAATAAACAAGAATTGGTTAAAAATATTATAAAAATGAAATGAGTATAATGTAAAATAAGTATTATGTATAAGCATTACAAATTATAAAAATTATAAAAACAAAAATCTATGTAAAAAGAATCAAATATATTTAAATTAGCCAGAAAATTTGTCAAGAAAATTCCAAAGAAATAGTATCTTTAAGTAATCCAAAAGAAACCTTTATTCTAAGTTAACTTTTATACTAGAAAAGTTTGAAAACTCTGGCTAGTTTGATTCTTTAAGTAAATAAAATTATGTAAATCAATATAAGATTACATGATGCAGATGGAAAATTCTGTAGAAGTGTGTGCATGAGAACAGATTTCCTTTTACAACAATCCTAATGAAGTGCATTGTTGTAGTTTTAAGGGATAATTTTAATTATTTATAAATTCTATGCAAGGAAAGCTAGAACTTCTGTAAATAAGTAATATAAAACCTTTGACACTTTCTAGCAATTTCTTTAATCCGTCCAGATATTAAAAATTTGTTTTCGAATATCTGAAGTTCCAATATTGTCGAATCTGAGGAAGGCCATTAAATATAGCCAAAAACGTTAGTTTGATTAAAGAAATTGCTAGAAAAAGTGTCAAAGGTTTTATATTACTGATTTATAAATTTTTAATTGTCTTCAAAGTATACAATAGATATGTTATTCAAAGTTTTATATGTTTATAACTATATTATAACTTATTGTACTTCTTCCAAAAATGGCAGAATAGAATGCATACTCATGCATTCTATTCTGCCATTTTAAGATGCACCTGGTTTAAGATGCTTTGATAGCAAATCTGTAAAAACATCAATTAAAATAGTCTCAGAAATACAAACAACAGAAGTGAACTTAAATTCACTTAACATAAAAAATGGAATAGAAGGTATGTTTGTAAATTATATGTATTATTTATTGTAAATGGTTTGATATTATGTAATAATTATGTACATTTAAAATTAGTTGACTGGAGAGGAGCATTGTAGATCCCAAAACATGTAAAAACAAATATCAACTAAGAGCATATAAACAGATAAAATAATGCCTAGTGTTCATTTAACTGCACTATATCATGCTTACGAAACAAAAATGTAGAACAACACAGTTTCAAATTGGTACAAACAGAGTAGATTTAAATTAAAATACATAATAGAAAAACAAAATAATGTATTTAAACATAAAGACATGATTTTTTTAAAAATTAATACATATATATTGTATGTAATGATTGCCTGTTCAAAATTTACCTAAACTATACAGTAGAGCGTCGATTTTCCGAAAGTCAATCATCCGAAAGAATTCCAGTCAGCAAATTTAAATTTTCGCCAGTGCTGTGGCGCTTCAATCTTTGGCCATGTCTTGGGCTACTCAAATATTTTATGTTTTTGATACTAAATTAACTTCTGAAGTATAATTTTTATATTTTTCAATATATTTATTTTGTTTGTACAAAATAAAAAAATAATTTTTAACGATACAATAGTCTTTGTTAGGCTTAACATCGACGAAAATTCAACGCGAAGCGACACGCAACGGAGAAAAATTTCGACATCGGATACATTAAACTATTTTTTTGTACGTAAATCAGTTATCCGAAATATCAGTTATCCGGACAACCCCAATCCCCAATTGATTCGGAAAATCGACGCTCTACTGTATTTGTAATCAATATCAAAACAGACTATAATAATATATTCTAGAACAGGGGTCAGCAACCTGTGGCATATGAGACAATTTTCAGTAGCATTCTGAATAGAAATGTAGTAAAAATTCTATTTTAATTATTAATTACACATTTAAATGGAAGCCATAGTTCAGTGTAGGCAGTGGTACATTAAAAATGAATCTCTTGCATTTATGCTCCGCATTAACACAAGAGATTCTACATGTTATGCATGCACGTCACATGTAAGAACATAAATCAATTAACAACTTAACTTCAAAAATAAATACACTGGACGACAAAAAAAATAACGCACCATGAAGGACTTGTTGGATTTGAATAAAAATTGGTATGTTGCATCATCTTAGCTAGATATGTAAATGATTAGCTTTTGAGAGCAGGTTGTTGTGTTACATCGCCACCAGAGGGAAAAAAATGCTTCCGCTATCTGGTATAAAAGTGCATGCTGTGACGACTTGTGCATATGTTCTGCGCTTTTATTCGTGGTTTCGACTTCATTGTGTGACAGACATGCCTCTACGACGCAATCGACAACCTTACACTCAGTTAAGTGAGTTTGAGAGAGGTCGCATTGTTGGATTGAGAGAAGGAGGATGGTCATACCGTCGGATTGGCCGCCATCTTAACCGTTCTGATAGAACTGTTAGGATGTGTTATGAGCAGTGGGTAAGTAGGGGTACACACGAACGGCAAACGGGTTCCGGACGCCATCGACAGACCACCAGAAGGGAGGATCGTCTCATTGTACGTCAAGCACGGACAGCACCTACAGCTTCATCATCTACCATTCATGCAGCGGTGGCACCTGCATTACAGAACCGTGTATCCAGCCGCACCATTTCCAGGCGCTTAGTAGAAGGCGGATTGATCTCCCGATGCCCAGTACGTGTTCTACCGTTAACAGCCACCCACCGACGCCTCCGTCTGCAGTGGTGTCGTGCACGACAATCGTGGACAGCTACCGACTGGCAGCGTATTGTCTTCAGTGACGAATCCCGCTTTTGTTTGGGGGCTCACGATGGCCGTGTGAGAGTATGGCGGCCTGCTGGTCAAGGTGTCAACCCGGCCTATACTGTGGAGCGGCACACGGGTCCAACCCCCAGTGTTATGGTGTGGGGAGCCATAACATACGACAGTAGGACGCCTCTAGTTGTCATGCGTACTACCCTCACAGCCCAACGATATGTGCAAGACATCCTCCAGCCACATGTGTTGCCCCTCATGGCAGGGCTTCCGACAGGCATATTCCAGCAGGATAATGCCCGGCCACACACTGCAGCGGTCTCCCAAGCATGCCTACGTAACGTTGCCACACTTCCTTGGCCTGCACGATCTCCAGATTTATCGTTAATCGAACATGTGTGGGACCACCTAGGTCGCCAGCTGCGACAGCCACAGGATCTGACGAATCTTGAGTCCCAATTGCATCATGCATGGTCAGATATGCCTCAGAACATTATTCGTGACCTCTATGCCTCCATGCCAAGGCGTATCACAGCTTGTATCCGTGCTAGAGGCGGCCCAACAGGATATTAGCGCCTGCACTGTATTGTATATTACTGAACAATAAAGTATGTTTTTGTTTTATGGTTGCAATCATATACCTGTCTAGCTATGATGATGTCATATACCAATTTTTATTCAAATCCAACAAGTCCTTCATGGTGCGTTATTTTTTTTGTCGTCCAGTGTATTTTTGAAGTCCATTATAACCAAACTAATTTTGATAAAATATATAACAAACTTGGTAGAATCATGTTAGCAGCTGGAATAACACTATAAGTTAGGTTCAGTACAACACCACTGAAAGGTTGCCAACCCATTCTAGAACATTTTAAGTGTATAGAGAATACCTTCAGCTATGATAGCTATTTTGTTCAACTTTCAATTATTCAATTTTTCAGAACATTCAGCTACCAATTTAATCACTTTAAAATAAATAAAAATAATTTACATTTATTAAATTAATTTATAAATGCAAATTATTTTTATTTATTTTGAAATGTTTAAATCGGTAGCTGAATGTTGATTTAAATATACAAAGCATAAATTATTTTATTTACTTAAAATATTCAGTTGTTAATTTGGCAACAATGAGTGTTAAAGCCAGTTCATCAAATCACAGATTCAATTCTATTTTTAATATAAATATTTGTATTTGTTGACTTTTAATTGAAATTATGGTTGATAAAAGCACATTGTAGCCACTATTGTTTGTAATAATGTACATATTCAAAATTATCTAACTAAACTAAAATATAAATAAAAATTTTCTTACTGTGTTTCAATTGGTTGATAAATTGATGGAATATAAGAGTAATTAGCAGTATGTTGAACTACTGTACTTATAATAGAAGAACCGACATAGAAACCATGATTAGCATCAGGTGGATATTCAGTCCATTTTAGAAAAGCACGTTCAAATTCAAAACTAACTTTAGTGACTGAATTGGGTGATAACGTAAAAATCATTTCTAAGTGATGTGGTTGTTCTCGGTCTCTCCCTGGCTGATAATACTGAAATTCTATTTTAAAATGTTATTTTTTTAATTTTAAAAATATAATTTATTTAAACATATAAATAATGAAATAAATGTACCTTTCAACACAAATTTATCTCCATTTTTAACTTCTAATGTATGTGAATAAAGTCTTAAAAACCATGGAATAATCTCTAAATATATAATTTTGAGATGTTTGGTTGGATGATTGTTATAAATATGACACTGTATTCCTCCTTTTTCTACACCATAACCTGTAAAAAATTTTATTTTATTTATTTATATTTCACGAAAAAATAATAAACATTTGCAATTTACAAAATTAAAAATCCAAAACATTAAATCATACTAACCAGTTATGAATCTTGTAGCATGAATAATTGGTAATGTAGGTGGCCAATATATATGGGGTTTCTCATAATTTGCAGCAATATTTACATGTGGAAGCATAGAAAGCAATTCCTTTATTTGGTACACAGCATACTTCTGCGTGATGATCCCTTTTGTTGTTGTAACTATTTTAGTAGGTGTAGGAGAGAGTGTGAATGGAATTCCTGTCTGAAAATATTTTTGAATAATCATATTTTTGTTTATAAAAATCATAAATAGTGAATATATATCTGAATATATATAATTCTCAACAAAAGTCATTAAAACAGTGCACTCTCCATTAATTGCATTGGAGATGGAAAAGGTGGAAATTTATAAAAGTAAAATGAAAAATCATTGCCTAAATGCTAGGGATGTTAATGCACTTCCAACAGCATGGAAATATATAATAGAATAAAAAATTGGACTTAAAAACCCTTAAAGCATGTTTCTTTATAGTTAGCTTTGTTTACTATGTTTTATTTGTTTATTTATTTTATTTAATATACACACTTCTTTCAATTTATTTTGAAATTAAATTATTTTTTGGAATTTTANAAACCCTTAAAGCATGTTTCTTTATAGTTAGCTTTGTTTACTATGTTTTATTTGTTTATTTATTTTATTTAATATACACACTTCTTTCAATTTATTTTAAAATTAAATTATTTTTGAATTTTAAAAATGTAAAATGTTTGAAAAAGTTACATTTTATTTTGGAACATTTATAGTAAACCTGATGATGGCCTATAGTAAATAGGTTGAAAACGTTTGTAAAAATAAATGGATTTTAAACTCAGCAAAAAATTAGGTGTTGGTGAAACTGAGGGAATTTATATTCAATGTTATATCATATAAATAACAATCTGGATACTTATCAGATACAAAAACATCTTTGATAATATAGGTTAGATTATCTATAAAACATGTGAATCAGCAAATAATTTTAATATGAAAATGATCAGAAAAATTTTCAAACTGACTGGACTAATACACTGCTACTAATTAAAACTGTTAAGGCCATATTTATTTTTGTTCAAATAAAAAATAAATGAATTAGTTCACCATGAAATATATCTTTAAGTAAATTTCAATTTAAAATATTACTTTATATAAATTTTGGACAACCTCTCTTCTAACATTCAAGAATAAGTAATTTAAAAAGCATTCAATATTAATTTACAGATGTATTTTCTCCATTCATCTCATTTTTACTTTCTCAGCTCTGTTATATATAACAGAGGGAGATTATGGTGATCAGTGAAAAAATGATCCCTAAGATTTTTACATTTTTGAACTTAGGATTTTAAAGTATTGACAAATGCAAAAAAAAAAAAAAAAATTCAGAAATTTTTTCTGTATGTATGGATGTTAGCATACATCTGTGTGGCATGATTTTGTTCATCCTCTGAGGCTTAATAACTCCTGTGCCTTTTGTCAAAAATTTATATAAAATTAATTGTAAATTTTTATGAAGAAGGCATAAAATAAAATAATTATGATAAAAATATTTCAAGAAATTGTTGTTATATTTCTTGTTTTTAAGTGTATAAAACCTAAAGAATGGTTCTTCATTAATTATTAATTTGTTATTTGTTATTTGTAAAAGAGGGTGAGAGAGCTGTCGGTCTTTTAGCTGACTGACTTAGCTCGTTTAAATAGGAAACGGAAAGAAGGTTCGAAGGTAAGATGATAAGCAGCAAGAGGAAGTTAGATAGATAGGAGAGAGGAAGGAAGTGACCATGGGTTCCATGGGCGCCCGAAACGCCTCAACACACTAAGTAAATCAAAATATGGTTACAAGGTCCAATAATAGCATGAAAACCATATAAACAAAATGGCGCGGCAATACAAACAGTATTCAGGGTTAATGTTTACAATTTATATAAGGTAATATCGAGCAATTAATTAATGTAAAACAGGGGAAGTTATATGTACTGTACATGGCATATACGATCAGGAACCGTCCTTGTTATCTTCGTCTGTTTCACTTTCCGATGTTTGGTGGATTGGACTATTGTCATTCGGTGTTTGTTGCTGTTTTTTGAGGTAGTCCGGTTTTAGTTCTTTTGTTTTCTTGACGAATGTTTGAAGGCTGCACCACAGTCGTTTGGTGGCAAAGATGTCTGCCAGCTGTGGTGGCCATGTTAGTCCACTTGTGATGGTGTCCCTAAAAAATTCTGCTCTATGCTGGTGGAATTTAGGGCAGTGGAACATAAAATGTTCGGCGTCTCCCTCACTTTTAAGTTCACAGTCACATTTATTGTCCGTGCGTTTTTTAAAGCGGTAAAGGTAAGACTGAAATTTCCCATGACCCGTTAGGCATTGGGTCATGTCTGGATCGGGTTCAAAGTGATGGGCTTTTTTCCTTGCCGTTAGAGTTGGTATAAATCTATGGCAGAGTCTTCCCGTCTTGGAGTTGTCCCATTCAATCTGCCATAGGGTGTTTGTGATTGAGTTTATTTTCTCCCAGATCATCGTCATCGGTATGCGTGAGTAGGTGTGGGGGGAGTGGAGTACGCAAGCCTTTTTGGCCAGCAGGTCCACTGTTTCGTTCCCTCCATAACCTTTGTGGGCCGGAATCCAGTTGAAGTGGATGATTCTATGCATAGCAAGAGAGTTTGCGGTGTTTATTAGTTCTCTTCCTAGTCGTGTGGCTCTCCTTTTGTTCTCAAGTGTGTGCAGCACTGCCCTGCTGTCAGTGTAAATATTTATTATCCCTTTGTAATAATTGATGTTAGTGGCTATGTGAGTTAGGGCCTTGTGCATTGCCCAAAGTTCAGCCTGCATGACACTGCAGTAAGGTGCCATCTTGAGGTGTGCTTGGAAGGTCTTCCGGCCATTTCGTGCAAATATGGCCACTCCCGCACCCACTCCCCTTTCCTGTTTAGACCCATCTGTGTAGACAGCCCAATCACTTGGTGTGTTTTCTATTCCCTCAAACTGTAGGTCAACATTGTAGTGTGTTTCGTCAGCTGGGTGGAAATAGTTCCTCCCGCTTTCGTAGTCATCTATCCCGTGGCATTTTATTTTGTCTATTAAATCATCACAATTAGCTGGAATTTTCTCCTCCTTCCTGTTATTGGCCTTTCCTTGATCTGTCCATTGTGTGATGTCTCCTTTGGAAAGGTACCACTTCCATGTGAGTATTAATTATTAATTACAGGTGTTTTGTTATAAAAAATTTAATAGGAAAAAAATAATGATACTTTTTAAACTACAGCTAAGCAAAGTGTTGCTTTCGAACTAGTTAGACTTATTCCAAAAGCACTGACATTTATTCTGATTAAAATATTCAGAAACTCTTATAAAATTGGATATACTGTTTCTTTTTTAATTAAATTATTAAATTCTTTTTTAAATTAAATTACATCTTAGTGTTATAAACATTAGTTTTAACATTTACAGTGTTTAAAATTTATTATATTGAAAAATATTTCAGGTTGTTAAATTTAAAATTTTAATACTCATATTAGTCTATATGATAATGTAAACAATATTCAAAATTATACATATTTTTTAATTTAAAATTTATTACCATATTATTTGTTATATCAACAAATACAGTAGAATTAACAGCAAGGGGACAATATGAGGGCAGTGCTGCTCCAAACAACTTTAAAAATGACCAATCTGAATAAAAACAAAATGGATTTACTAAATTTATTATAATATTAATAAAATAATTTTATCAACATTACATTAAATAATCATTTTATTTAGTATTTAGTACTATTTAATACTTAACTATACCATAGGGTGCTTTTTTTAGAGGTATAAAAAGTTAAAATGAAATAAAACACATAAAAATAATGTTAATGGCCATGGTGTTGGCTTTATTTAAAAGATAATTTTATGCCATTAGTGTTTAAACATGATTTCGGGCATATGGGTGCCATGGCTGGGCTTGAAGTGCAATTGAAAAGAACAATTTTCGACCATTTTATTTAGCAACTGAACTCGTATATCGGCAATAATGCGGCAAATGTTAACTTCCAAGTGGTCCAACGTCTGTGTTTTATCAGCGTAGATTAGTGACTTCACATATTCTCAAAGAAAGTAATCCTTAGGTGTGAGATCACATGATCATGGAGGCCAGTTCACAGGTCCATTATGCTAAATTATACACTCATCGGATGTTTCCTGCAATAAATTGATGGTGTCACGCACTGTGTGGCATGTTGTACCATCTTGTTGAAACCAAAGCTCTGCCACATCAATACCATTCAACTGAGGAATGAAGAAGTCAGCAATCATGGCTCCAAAAGTGCTCTCCATTGATGGTAACATTCTGGCTGGCATCATCTTTAAAGAAATATAGGCCTATGCTTCCACCTGCCCATAAAGCATACCAAACAATGACTTTTAATGGATGTAAGTTACTCAACATTCACCGCATTATTGCCGATATATGCCCAGTTGCTCAATAAGGTTGTCGAAAATTGTTCTTCCTGATTGCGCTTCATTCAAGCCAGCCATGGCACCCATATGCCCGAAATCATATTTAAACACTAATGGCATAAAATTATCTTTTAAATAAAACCAACATTATGGCCATTAAAATTATTTTTACATGTTTTATTTCATTTTAAATTTGTATACCTCTAAAAAAAAAACACCCTGTATATTAAAAAATAAGGATATAAATCTAATAGTTTCTAATTTTTACTTAAAATATATGGATCTAAATATAGTTAATTTGCTTTTTTTTCCTAAATTAAATATTTTATGTAATTATATTTAAATGCTTGCATGTTTATAAATATAATGTAGTTTTGTGTTTAATTTGTTCCAACTTTCATGCAAGTGTATAAAACAATTTACAGTAATTACTAATTACTCTAATTTACTATTACTAATTTGATTTAAATTTCACAATTGTTTTAGATTTTTACTGATCAATTACAATGTGAACAAACATCAAGTAACCAAATAAATAATATTGTTTTTGAAACAGGAATAAAAGTGCTTATATTTTTTGTTTAAAATATTTTTATCCATCACAACATTTACCTTCACATTCAATTACACTTTCTGAATGGGAGGGCAGTTTTGAAAATACCATTTTCAGCATAAAAAATTGAGCCACTTCCTCTTTTATAGCTGCATGGTTTGTAAATTGTTGTTTCATGATATCTTGTAAAACACCAAAACACTTCAACGATTCGACAAAGATGCTGTTTTACCTTAATTTGTCATGTACTCTTAGTAGCTACTAAGAGTACATGATAAAGGTTCAAATACTCATGATTAACAATACCCTTCAAAGTCCACCAAACACAAAGAAAGATTTTCTCAGATCATTTATAAAATGGTATTTTCAAACTTCCCTCCTGTTGAGAAAGTGTAATAGAATGTGAAAGTGAATATTTTGATGGAGAAAATAATTTTATTCATCAAAATAAAAAATGACATTATTTATTTGGTTGTCTGATAATTTGCATTAAAATCTTGTATATATATGTTTTATAAATAAATTTAGCTTTGAAAAATATTTTGCTGGCTTTTATTTTTTGAAATTTGATATTTAATCTTCAGATTTAAAATATGATGACAAAAATAAATTAAATATAATAGTTACAATAAATTAGCAATGTTAAGATTTCTGAATTTTAAATTTAAACAAAAAAAAATTAATTGGTTAGTTTTTTTAATTTTAAAAAGTTATTCCCAATTGTTTAAAACAAAAAACGAAAATTTCATTAATATAGTGGTATCTCGGTATACATCTGTTTTAGAATACATCCAATTAAGAATACGTCCTGTTTGGACAAAACAAATTTTGCTTGGTATACAACTTATACACGCCATCTATAAACAAGTAGCACTATTGGTGTACTAGGCCAGACTAGACAGCCGGATGGCCAAGCAGTCAAGGTGGCAGCCTACCGCTCTGGGAGACTCAGGATCGAATCCGGACGAGTCAAGGAATCCCAGGAATTTTTGGGGGTGGTCCGTTCGGATATGTCAGACCCCGTTGCTCACCACCCAGTTACCTCATTGTGGGCCTGGTCAAACCCATAATGGGCCTGCTACATGAGGCCCTCTTAGTGCCCACAGGGCAAAAAAAGTATTTAAAAAAAAAAAAAAAAAGTCAGACTAGATGTTCGTGGTGCCACGGTTTATAACTTTGTTAAATTTCTTCTGATTTTAATTCATAAGTAAAATTTTATTATTTTTATTAACCTGTCCTACGTTGTTCCCAAAAATATTCGCGTTGACCTCATTGACCTGCATGGGCAATCCCGAATATTTTCATGTTTACATTGGAACATTTTTGATACTAGATGTTGCTAAGCGTCACAATTTTTATATTAAACTGAACTTTTAAAATATAATTTTTTTTGTTTCTATATTATTCAATATATTTATTTTGTTTGTGAAACATAAAAAAATAATTTTTTACAATACAGTAAACACAATTATTATTAAAAAAAAAAATTTAGACTTAACATCGATGAAAATTCAGCATGGCGTCACAAGCAGCAAATAAAAATTTCAACATCAAGTAGGTTAATCATGAATTGCAAAAAGGCAAATGAAAAGCAACAAAAAACTAAAAAAATGACTAGAATCACAATGAAACTGAAAAAAGAGATTATTGAAAAATATGAAGGTGGCATATGTGTTTGAGATTTAACTGTTGCATACCGTAATCCAAGAACAACAATATCGACAATCGTGAAAAATAAAGACATTATTAAATCAGCTAACATTGCGAAAGAGGTTAAATCAATTTCTAACCAGAGATCAAAGACATTAGATCATGTGAGAAATTGCTTTTGCTTTGGATAACTGAAAAACAGTGTGCTGGCGACAGCGTATCAGAACTGACATTAAAAATCACTTGAAATGTGAGAAACGTAAGGCAAATCTAGTAGCAACAGAAGCAATTATTTGAGAGAAAGCTAAAAAGATACATGCTGATCTCATGAAAAATCAAGCAGGAACTAGCTAGGAAAGTGAGATGTTTAAAGCCAGCCATTTTTTTACATGAGAATGAATTAATCATTTTTACATTACTTCTTATGGGAAAGGTTGGTTTGGTATACGTCCTAGTCAATATAAGTCCAAACATCAGGAATGGATTAAGGTCATATACCGAGGTTCCACTGTAATTGTAATCACACTTGTTAGCTGTAGGTGCATCTAAAATAGGCTCTCAGAAAATATTTTTCTGTGCTACACTTGCATGAAAATGTAATAAAGATCTCTTTGGTATTTAGCATTTTATCATCAAAGTTGAACTTCACTTGAAAACTGTTCTAAATGGCAATTATTTAGTTCTAAATGGCAATTCTTCCAGCAGTTATTTACTTAATAATGCATAATAATAATAAGCATTTATGGCCATTTTTAAACTTTCTGAATGCATAGAATATTCCAACATTGTTGGTTGCTTTAAAATTTCATCAAACTTTTGGAAAAACTCAAATATTTTTGCTCATATACCTGAGAGCCACTGAAGAGGCCAAACACATTATTATTTATATTTTAAACATCAAAATTACATATTCTTTGCTCTTGCTATTCTTGACTCATTAAGTGTAGTTCTCAAAGCTTGTTAGCCAGCTATTGCACTATATTTTACTTAATAGTATAAGTGAAACATAGTATAAGTGAAACATAATAGCTTATCTTATGCAATAATTCTATTAAAGAATAGATAATGATTTACATTTAAGAAAAATATATATACAGTATTGTCACAAAGTGGAAAGACAAAGTTCAAACAAACACTATTAAAAAGGATATGAATATTGGAATCTAATCAAAATCCCTACAAATCAATATCTCAATATTCAAAATCTTGACAGGTCTAAATTCTGACACAGTCAAAAACCCAAGTGATCAAAATACGATTATGATTAAAAAGAAATAGGTACCAGTGGTGTACCATAGTGGGGGTGGCCCACCCCGGGCGGCAAAATTTCACAATAAATAATAATAATATCTTGTAAAAATTTGAAACATCCTAATCTATACTTGCATCATGCCTACGATAGTGTTATCATTCGGACAGTCCGGGAATCGGTTTGCCGTCCAGGGGAACTAGTAAGTTTTTCATCCGAAGAAATCTGCGAAACCTGTTGACCCTTTTTTTTTTTTTTGTACGATTCAATCATGTTCATGTTCATATACACCACTAATATCCAATAGAACTCTTTTAAACAGGTCACTGCACTACCACCAAATTTTTCATTGCTTGTTCTGTGACGAAAATGCATTTTGGTCTTTTAAATTGAAATACCTAAATAAGGGGGGCTGAAATTTTCCTCCGCCCCGGCGGCTGACACCCATGGTAGGCCACTGATAGGTACATACATTTCACCAATAAAAAGTAAAGCGTATAGAGCTACTGGTGTATAAAATATAATATAGAATATTATATTAGTAGATAATACATTAGTACATAATATTATATGATCAATTATTGTAAAGCTAACTGTTTGACATAAATAGTGTTATAAATATATTCATTTATTTGTTTTTACCATATGTTAAGATGTTGGAATTGTCTGTTAAGATACCAAAGTTTAGGCAGGTGATTCATTAATTGTTCTACTGCAGTCAAAATTGTACATGTGGCTGTAATTTATTGTACTGGATCAGGATACCACCATTCATATCGTGACCTTAATTGTGATACTCCAATGTGTTGGGAAGGGAGCTTTTAATGGTGTTGGGATTTTGAATCATATCCATGGATGTTATCCACAGAAAATAAACTGAATGAACTAAAAATTAACTAAAACAAATTATCACAAAGAACAAAAACAGGAACAGCTGGCTCAAAGTCAAATACAGGAGAATTCCAAAATTAAATTGCATCATAAACATGTTCACTGTTTGAATAATTATTGGTCAATGACTATGGGTCTAAAATTTCAGTATAATAAATTTAATTTAATCTTTTTAATATTATGACATAAATATCAAATTTTAAAATCTTTAATAAATTGATTTTTCAAAACTCATTCACACCTCTTTCTTTTATCAGACTGTGGAAATTAATTCTATATAATATATGTATTTTTTATTTAAAAGCGTTAATATTATTTATAATAATGTTGATAATTACACATAATTATGAACCTTCATTAATTGTTATGTAATACATAATCTGTGTTAACTCTTGTCATCCAAATGTCATTATACTACTACATTTAATGCTTTGTACAGTTTGAAGTACATAATTTGCTAAGTAATTTCATTTTAATTATATAATAAAATATTGTCATTGAAAAATTGATATTAAATATTTTACCTTGTTTGCCCTGCTGCATAACTGGTGGATTAAATACTACAGATAATGAAAACAGAAGCTCTAAGGCAGTGTTTATGCATTGATTATCCTGAAGTATAAAAAAAAAGTTATATAAATGCATTTATCAGAAATTATTCAAACTTTTGAAACATTTAAAAATGTTATTTTATACAGATAAACTATGAATTATATTTATTCAGATGTAGAATAGAATTATATAAAAATCATTTTTTGATGCATTTGATGTTTTTAATAATTAGATATAGGATAAGAATTAGATATATTTTTAATAATAAGTATATAGGTTACTGTTTAGAAAACAATTCTTATAAATGTAAAAGTGTATAAATTTTACTTATTTATTTTTTATATTCCTTAATAAAATGCATTAAAATTTATTTCAGTATTAACCTTAAAGAGCAAATAATAAAATAAATTGTTGTGAAAAAACAAAATTAATAAATAATGTACACACACACACTACATAAATGTTAATTTTTTAGACATAACTTTTAAATTTAATGTAGACTTATAAAATATTTTTAACATTAGATAAAGTCATATAGAGTCAACAGATTATAAAAATTATNAAAAAACCCAAGAGGAATGAAGAAGAGAAAAAGGAAAGAGGACCCCGAGGTCAGTCGTCATCCAAAGTCCGCCCAACAAAGTCGTCCTACAAGATTAAAATCGTGACCCCGGATTAAAACCGTGACCCAGGATTAACCCGAGAGAAAAATTCGTGCTGGATTAAGCCTCTACACTCCTCCGTGCCTCCACACCAGTGAATGGACAAGATTCGGATCTAGTGTAAAGAACTGTCCATCGACAAGGTATTTATCAACCTGCGATTCGTTTGTAAACTCTCTCTCTCTCAACGGCCTAGTATAATTAAGAATGATAATATGCCCTATAGTATTTAGTATCTCTGTATAGTATTTAGTTCGATTTAATTAAAATTGTTATTTATTTGTTACTATGGAGTCCGAGTAAGTTACTTCCTCGTCTCTCTCCTCACCTCTACTCCGAATCCAAGCGCTCACCCACTACCGCTCGCAAATCTTAGACGTAACGTCGCGATTTCTGAGTCCCCCAGAGACTCGGTGGTGTCAGATTCAGATCTCCTGACGTGGTGTCAAAGAGACACCGACCCTACGGTCACAATATCCAATATAATCATTAAGTAAAAAACTAGGAAAGACTTTCAATGAATAAAGCAAATACATCTTAATTATGTATGCACACTTATATTTTGTATCTAGTACATAAACAAATGATTAAATCCACATTATATAATATTCTTGTAAAACTACTCATACATTTATAAAATACTTTACATTTGTTTTAATTTTAGATAGATATTCAAGAAAAAGGTACAAGAAAGTATTAAGATGGATAAACCCTCTATCATAAAATTCTATATATTATCCATTTATTCCATTTCTCCAACTCTTGATGTATTATAATCAGTCAAATTCAGTTGCAGAATTACTATCATAACAGGTTTCTGTAAAAATGGCATGCTCCTGATATTTAAGCTTTTTATTAACCAAAAATATAATTTCATTGCTGATTTTAAATTTTAAAAATTCTGTATAAAAAACAAATATAAATGAGGAGAAAAACTATTAATAGGATTAAATGAAAAAAATACACAAAAATATTTAATTATTATTGAAAATTGTAATTATTTGATATTTTTATTTGTTGGATAATGAAAACAAATACACTGCAGTCTATCGATAACAGCAACTTAGAGTGGAAATTTATCTTTAACTCTTGCAAAAAACCTAACCAAATTATATTTTAAAGAATAAATTTCTATTTTGAACCATTTCTATGCTGAGAAAAGGTGTTTAATATTATCAGAAATTATACTTAAAAAAAAAAAAAAATTAAATGAAAATATTTTCTTAAAATTCATACAATAAAATCAGTGACTTTCTTATGACTATCAAGAAAGAAAATATTTTTTAATACCTATTTTAAGATAATTACTAAACTAGGTTAAAACTTTGATTAACACTTACCCTACAAATAACACGATAATCAGTTGCTATTGAAAAATAGTTACTGTTCAATATGTTAATGGCATTAAGAAGGGTAGAAAGTCCTGCCTAGAAAAAGGAATTATATATATATATTATGTATTAAAACTTATAAATGTTAAAATTTTAATTAAAAATACATTATATATATTTTAATTCAATCAAAAATTAAAAAAAAATAGTGGAAATAATTACATATTAAACAGCAAGTGAAATTTAGCTGAAGATTTTAGATTATTTATTCATTTTTAACACACACACTTGGATACTCTTGGATACTATAGTGATTAATTAAGTTAAATTGACAATCATTTTCATTGATAATAGCTAGTGAATTCAATTATATAAATTGAAAATAAGAAATTAAGATAACACGAAAAAACAAATTTAGACAAAAACAATTGACCAATTTCACATGCCCCTCATTGATTGGGAAAAGTGACATAATTTTTCCAAGATGGATGCCATATGTATAAAAACAAGTTCTCATTGTAGTTAACTCTTGAATACTATAGTGATTAATTAAGTTAAATTGACAATCATTTCCATTGATAATAGCTAGTGAATTTAAAAAACAGTCATAGCTTATTGTATTCCAGTGTCATAGTCACTACAGAAAAGACAATGTTTCATTTCATTTATTTTCAAAAAATAAAAAATTGTTTGACATGGGTTCATCACCTATGAATAGGGGCAAATTGGCACACAAATGAGTTTATAACAAACATTTTAATTAAGTGATTCTTAAAACACCAAGAAAAGTAAGTATATATCCTTTCAAAAAAACTAATAACAAACATTCATTTCCAAATTGGATATGATTTTGAAGTTGATATTAGTTATCTGATGGTTGAAAATGTAATAAAACTAAATATGAATTTGAGTCATACTTATCAGTGTAAGCAGTTGAAAGTGAGAGCAACACCATCCTTAAATTTTTCAAGATCTCCATGTATTAAGCATCCCCAAATAAAATAGATGTTGGAAAAACAAAATAAGAGGGAAGGGAAAAAAATTGCTGGAACAGCTAACAAAAAGATAGATCAGGTAAAGTAAAGCATTATTTAACTTATAGATGAAAAGCTCATTTCCAAAAGAGTCAATGTCCAAAATAGACTTAAGTCAATTTGAAAGAAATCATTGCTTTGACTTAGGCCAGTTTGAATAAAACTGCACTATAAAAACTTTTTCATTGACTTAGGACTTTTTGACAAATATTAAGTCATCAGGTGAATCTAGTCAATTAAGTAACAAATTAATTAATGCAGTGTACTCACTACACTAGGTAATTTGTTAATTTGTAATTAACTTAATGTGAGTAAATTCACTTTTCAATATTTTTAACTTAGGAACTTTTGGAAAAGAGCTCTTCAAATGTACAGTAATTGTAAATGCACCAATGGCTAATACTTTAAGATAATGTTGTAGTTATATTATTTTATGAAACTTTTTTCTTCCAAAATTATTGTTCTTTTTACAATGTTATACAGTAGAGCGTCGATTTTCCGAAAGTCAATCATCCGAAAGAATTCCAGTCGGCAAATTTAAATTTTCGCCAGTGCTGTGGTACTTCAATCTTTGGCTATGACTTGGGCTACTCAAATATTTTATGTTTTTGATACTAAATTAACATCTGAAGTATAATTCAAATCTTCTTACGCGTATACTGGAGAATGTATAAATTAACACTCCTAAACCTTATAACTCCAGTAATAAACATTTAATAGCAAACTAACGTTTTCAACCGTACATTCGGTCTTCTTCAGGTTTAAAAAACCAGTTATATTCGAACATGTGAGTGCATAGAACAAAAATTCTGAAATTATTTTCAAAAAATGGAACTTTACCAACGTAATTTAAAAGAATAAAAAGTTAAGCGTGTGCATTGCCATGGCAACAACATGTTAGTTTGCTATTAAATGTTTATTACTGGAGTTATAAGGTTTAGGAGTGTTAATTGAAGTATAATTTTTTATTATTTTTATATTTTTCAATATATTTATTTTGTTTGTACCAAATAAAAAAATAATTTTTAATGATACAATAGTCTTTGTTAGGCTTAACATCGACGAAAATTCAACGCGAAGCGACACGCAACAGAGAAACATTTCGACATCGGATACGTTAAAACTATTTTTTCGTACGTAAATCAGTTATCCGAAATATCAGTTATCTGGACAACCCCAGTCCCTAATTGATTCGGAAAATCGACGCTCTACTGTACTCTTATGTTTTTTTTCTTTTATCAGTATAAATGCAAATTTTCTCAGAAAAATCAAGCAGAATTGGCATATTTCTTATATTAATACAATAATTATTCAAAGTTATCAGCTAATAGGTCACTGTCAGCAAATGGTACATCCACCTTACTCATAAATAATTCTTTTATACTTACTTTTATCTCTAAGGGTTTGTTTGTTTTTAAAAAGTAGTGCATGTGATTATGATGATGAATAACCATGAAACATGAACTGTGAATCATGAACCATGAATCTATCTAGTAGACATGAGCAATCAAAGTGAAGATAAAAATCAGATTGAAAAAACAAACTGGAAGAAAGAATAAATTTTTAGAGAGAAATTGTAGAAATAAGAAACTGACTTGGTATCACAAAAAACACAGTAAGTTATTTGACAAAAAAAAAAAAAAAAAAATATGAAATCATATCATCCTTGTATGACAAGAGGTATGTTTTAATTTGTTTTTGGCATTAAAACTGTAAGGAGTCAATTCCAAGCCATTGTATTTTGTTTACAAATTATTTTTTCGTTATTCTATTTATTTTGGGGGATTTTATTTCATTAAGGATAGATTATTGCACCTCCCCAGACAACATTCTAAAAGTTAAAAACTCACGACGACTACAGACAAAAAAAATGACGTCATTATCCCAAAACAACATCTCAGGGGTGGGAAACTTCCACAGGAAGTTAAAAAAAAGATCTCCCACCCCCAAATTGTTACTAGACAACACAAAAAAGTATCATAGAATTGTGAGGGAGATGACATGAAGGAAAAAAACCAACTAATAAAATGTTATTGTGTATGTATGTAAATAGGGCAAGTGGGTGGATGCATTGTAACATCACCACACCTGCAGCATAAAAAAGACAGAGACAATTCAGATGAGGTGAAGCTTAGATTGAAATGAGGTAGTGCTAAGAATTGAGTGATCAATAAAAGATTTTCAAATTTCAGTTCCAGGTCCAGTAACAGAGTTTTGGTGACACACAGTCAAATTTTAAGATTCATTGTATTTTTTTTGATAGAATTGATTCCTTTCTTCTTGTTGATTATGTGGTGATAGAATTAAGATAGTTCTAATTTGATTTAAGTTCCCAAATTGTTAGGCAGGTTTTGTACATATATGTTTTGGTTTGATAAAGTATCTTTTCTTATTTTACAAAGATTTTCTAGTGTTATTGAATTATACATATATGGGCTTTACTAATAAATAGAATTTTTTATATTACGTATAGTAATTCTTTTTTTACATTTGATCTTTAGTAATGATATTTAATTTTTGCCCGTGCAAGTCCAGGCCTGGAACACTAACCACGAACCTTAGTAGCTCACCATTAGCATATTTTTCCAGGCTTTTGCTTTACTTTCATGTAATAAGACATTACAGAACATTACTTGGTTCCTAGTGATGATCTGACAAGCATCAAGTTTCAGTTAGTTTCACCATCATGCCTGCTTATTGATAATCTCTGATTGCTACTTAAGCTTAGACAAAATTTTGGACACAAAGATTTTGCTTTTCATCTTAACAAAAGTGCAGCAGATATCTCAATGCTTTTTAAATTCTGAATGAGCAATTGCTTATTATGACATTCTCACAATGTCAGGCTGAAATTTTTTTATTATATTTTAATTTTAAAAATCACATGACTTCCAAATCAGATTGGAGATCATATATAGCTTTCCATATCTAATCTTGATTTTCTATTAATTCTATTCTCAAGATTAAGGAAAGACAGAAAATCTGTAGGTCTGCAATTTGAAAATTGCAATTTGAAAATGTAATTTATTGGGCTGCAATTTGAAAATTGCAACCCAATAAATTACATTTATTTAAAGTTAAGTGTACTATGTTTTTGGCCACATTGTAATGTTTTAATATCAAACATACCATAAGAGTTTAAAAAAGCTTTCCCAAATGTAATGATAATGAATTGATGCTACAGAAATTTACATTAAAAATCCAACAGACTTAAAACTGCAAAGCTAAACTTATTCTACAGATATTAGTAGCCTGTAGAATAAAAATAATCTTTCTTTTTTAAAAATGTAATGTAGTTGTAAAAGAACTTTTAACCCAAAAGGCATCTGCATTAAGCTTAAGAGGGACATAGCTGTCTAAAATGCATATAATAAAGTAGAACAGCAAAAAAAAAAAAATCTCTTGATGTGTACATGAAAACATTTCCCAAAAGATGTGATAAGTCCTCAGATTTGAAGCCAACATAAAAGCTTAAATACGATTAAAAAATCATAAGATGTCTTTATTTCTGCATATTTTTTGCATTTAATGAAAACTGATATTGCTTGATTTTGGCTAACTTTTAAGCAGTAGGGAGGCTGTTCTTTTTAAGAAACTAGACATGATTTTCATGGTCCATGATATTTATGGTTATGTGGATTGGGATGTTTCCTTCCTGAGCATCTTTGAATATTTATTTGGAAAAGACTATTTAATTAACAATTTGACTGTCTCAAAATATGTAAAAAGGTTTAATAGAGTAATACACAAATTTCAGTTCTGATTAAATTCATCTTCTGGCAAAAACAAACAAATTTCATCCAGAATAAAAATATTCATTTCAGTAACAAAAAAAAGTCTAAACTACCAATATCACAGAAGCATCGGTTATTAAGAATGTCAAGTATTCATATTATTGTTAAGCTATCATTAAACAACACTTTCAAATTATGTACCAACTTATTTTTCTTCATAAACTTTCAGCAGCCTACTTATATATCAAAATTTTTAGCTTCACCCACAGTTATACTTATATTATACCATGGCATTATTAAGTTACACCAGGAGTGGCCAACAGTTTTTGCCCCCAGGCCGAATTGGAAAGAAAACTTTTTCCACAGGCCGAACCAGAGGCTGCCCTAGGAAGATTTTGAGGTGGTGCGAGGTCTCATTGTGGTGTCAGATTAGAGATTACAGATACATTTTTCACATTATCATGCTTTATCAACACTCTACGCTGTATTTACGAGATTTGTAATGGAGGGTTAACTCTAAATGCACAGTGAGTTGTTGACCTTTTTATTCTTTTTTTACGCATCAGAATTTTTCATTGAGCTATTCAGATTTCAATAGCTAATATTGAAAGATTGATTGTGGGTCACATAAATTCATTAGACAACCGGATCTGGCCCGCAGGCCGTATGTTGGCCATGCCTGAGTTACACTCAATTATATCATGAATTTAACTTTCAACAAAAAACTGACAGCAGCAAGTATTTATTTGCTTCTAATCAAAAATTTTAATTACAGATCACGCATAAATGTTTTTAATTTATTCAGATTCTTGCTCTTTGCCATACTCACCAATGCCGTTTTGTTCTGAAGCAGAGCTTAAGTCCTTCTTGTAAAATCAGTCAATTTTATTAAAATTGATTGATTTTATTATTAAAATTAAAATTATTAAAACTGATTATTAAAATTAAAATTGTTATTCATTTGATTTAATTGAAATTCTTGATTCTTTAATGTTGCATTGATTAAGAATTTTCAATTCAATAAGCAAGTTTTTAATGGTTTTGTTTATTAAAATAATTGCTAATAGCATTAAGTTGTTATTATATGCAATAGAAATATAATTATTTTATTTATATTATTATTATTATATTTATCTTTTCTGAATTAACAATAGTCAATTATTTAGTTACCTTAGTATCACATGGTAGCAGTTTTCGCCATGGAGATAGATTTTCAGTACAAACTGTTTCTTTAGGTAAAGAAGCAAATCGAACATAAGAAGAATTAGCACCATGCTTTTCATGAACTAATCCCAGTGGTCGAAATGAAATTTGAGGAGAAATTGTACTTGTTGCATCTATAAAATTTAATGAAGCACAAAACTGTCCAGACAATGAATTGGTTAATTCAGTCCATGCTTTATTGACACTATAAAAAACAATTAATTAATTATGATTAATATATTAAGCATAGAAAATATTCATATTAGTAAAAAATTATAGAAAAACTTTAATATCACAGTTACTTATTTTGTTATTTAACTAAATTTGGTTAATGTTAAATAATTCTGAATCACAATACAAAGTAAAGACTAAAGTTAAGGTTTAATTATTTAAAAATTATGCTGTATTATGTTTGTGTACTATAAATGTTGTGATTAAGATCAAATGTTTCTAGATTTTATATATGTGGTTTGATATCTACAAAAGATAGAACTCAATATAAGCAAAATAAATATCTTATCTACAGTTCATTTTTGACCCAAAATTTTTATCACTAGTTCTGAACTACTTAGCGTAACTCAATCATATTAGCTTTTCTTCTCAAGGTAACCTCTCTTTACTTCACCAGTAAAGTATGTGCTGTTTAGTGCACTAAGTAGAAAAATTTTAACTGTGAATATATGTATTTTTAAAAAGTACATGCACTCTATAATAAATGTCTTAAAGATAAAGGTATGTTGTAAATTATAGAAAAATTTGTAATATGAAAAATACATGTTCAAATTTTTATTCTGTAGCCAACAGATGAGGGGTGTATGCCTGAAATGCATATTGGCATGTAAAATATTCCTGAATAAAGAGTGATGTTAAAAATGCCCAGTGTCTGCCTATGCACCCAGTTGTAAAGTATAGAATAATAAATTAAAGGCACGGTTTCGGAATAAGTCAATTATAAATTGCTGTTAAACTGCAATTGCAATGTGTAAAACTTGCACAACACATTTTGCAAAAGCAGTTGTTTCTTTTCTTTACCAAGCCATTTTTTAATCCTTGTATAAAAATCCTGCTCTTTCTGATGAAAGTAAAAGGAAGAGAATTGGAGCTGATAAATTTGAGATACAGCAGTCCAAAGATAGGCAAAACTGCAAAAAGATTTTTGATGATGAATTTGAATAGTAGTATTTCTGCAATGTCTTGAAATTTAACCTTACAACTTGGATAACATCTTATAACAATTCATTTAATTAATTAATATACTGGAACTGTTCACAACTGACACTGACAGCACAAAAACATCTTCCTTACTCCAGAATCATTTTTTCTAAATTATAAACATTTTCAGCCACATTTAGAGGTCTTCCTCAAGTAAAAAACCATTCCATCAATCAAACATTCAAAAACGTTTTACACATCATGATTTTATTTGAAATTTACATTATAATTAACTGACATGGATTAATTTAAATTATAAAATAATGTAAAATTAAACATTAAAAATAATAAGATAAAATATGGTGCACTTTCACGTGCTTCAAAAATTACATAACATAGATTATAAAAAACATTATTTTATTTGTAATCTATAAAGTTAATAAAGTGTGTAATGTATCTTAGACAAATAAAGACTAAAGTATTGAAAATATTGTAAAAACAGGTTAAATGAATGTTTAGTGAGCTTATCAATTAAGGATATACAGTATTGCAAGCCTGGGCTAAGAGATAATCATTATTGATGCAACTTCCATTTAGTTTAGCTTTATATACAGTATTTCTATTTAATAGTTTAAAGACAAAATTCGCCCAAACAGGGACCACCATTTTTAATTATATATTTCTATAATCTCAACTATTCATAATTTTTCTCTGTCAAATAACTTTTGCAAGAACCTAGCTTCATTCCAACAGGGGGAGACACTGGATTCAGGTGTATTGGGCCAGTGTGGTAACATATTTATGTTTGGAGGTATCCTATGTTAATGGTCTGTTGAATCTAGAATCAACCAAGATTCAAGAGACCATTAACATAAGTCATGTTTACTTTTATATTATTTTATAATTTAAATTAATCCATGTCGGTTAATTATAATGTAAATTTCAAATCAAATCATGATATGTGATTCAAATCAAATCATGATATCAAAAAAACCATTTCATCTATCAAAGATTCAAAAACGTTTTGTTTTTGAATCTTTGATAAATGAAATGGTTTTTTTACTTGAGGTAGGCCTCTAAATATGGCTGAAAATGTTTGTAATTTAGAAAAAATGATTCTGGAGTAAATAAGGAAGGTGTTTTTGTGCATGTCAGTGTTATAACTATTCAGTTTTTTCACCAAATGACAACATCTAAATTTGTTTTCTTCAGAAATTTTAACAAGATAAACATGGACTTTTATGTATTGAATTTTTTTATCAATTTTAAGTCATTGTTATAAACCTAGCCAAATGAACTACCATATTATCAAGTTACAATAAGGCTAATTTTAAGAATTTTATATATATTAATGTAATAGTTATAAACAAACTAGCAGAGCCAGGCTGTTGAAATTTTGTTAGATAGTCAAAGACCAAAAGTTATACAAATTTCATATTTTAGAATTTTTTTCTTATGACTTGTGAAACTTGGAAGTTTGTTTCACATCATTTGTGATACTTTTAAGGCCTTCACTTAAGACTCCCTAGAACAGGGGTTCCCAACCTTTTTGTGTCGTGGATGCATTCGAGATTGCAAAAAATAGTGGCATGCGCAAATCAATTTTTAAAAAAATTTAAATTAAATATTACGTTTTTTATTATAACATGCATTTTGTAACATATATTTATTACAAAATTTGAACTAGTGCAATCTTTGACAGTGTATTTCATTTGCTAATTTCTCACAGTTGGGAGTGTAATATGATAATCCCAATTGTAAGCAAACTTCAAGATTATTAAGTTGAGATCTGATTTTTGATTTTATAATATTTATGGTGGAAAATAAAGATTTGCACAAATATGTGGAATCAAAACAGGATTTGATTTTGAAGACTCCTTTTTTCAAAACATTATACTTTTTATGATCAACTAAATTCCAAAAGTTTACATCCATATCATGAGATTTTAATATGATGTCATTTTGAAAATCTAAAATCTCTTCTTCAATTATCGATGTTTCTTCTTAAAGAAGTTCTGCTATAGATTTAGCAGTTTCAGTAATGTCTACTTGTGTAGTAAAAGAATTTACTACAGAAGTAGACATTAGCCATGGGTAGCCATTGGTTTGATAATGGTAAATTGCTGGAATCTACTTTCAAACTGTTCCAAAGTTTTTAATATAAGTAATAAATAATGTTATGTCAAAATAATCTTTACCAGTCACTTTTTTCATCAGTGTATAAGAGAATTTTTCAACATATTATTTATCCAAAACTGTATTTTGGCTCTGAATGCTTTTATACAGCTAATCAGCTAAATGTTTATTTTTTCCCTGGAAATCCAGGTTTAAACTGTTCAATTTTTCACATACGTCAGTTAAAAAAGCCAAGCCCATCAACCATTGTACATTATCTAATTGTTCAAATGTTTGACTTTCTTTCATCTCTTCCAAAAGATCAAAAAATTGGCCAAGTGCTTACTTAACCATCTTATATCAGTATTTAAGATAAGGTCAGCTTGGGAAGATTCGTCCTTTTCTACAAGGGCTTTAAACAGTCTGTGTGATAAAGGATTTGCTCAAACTTTTTCATTATTTCAACACTTTGCTATGGGCACAAGGTTGGGAACCCCTGCACTAGAAGCTCATTTGTTTCTGGTATCTGTAACTTTAGCTAATAGTTTTAAAATAGAGTATAAAATAGTTTTAGACATTACAGAACATGTGTCAACTTTGATTTAATTAGGACATGATCAGGTGGGAACCACATGTCAAATTGTTCCTTTTAATACAGAATCAACACCTTATAATTCCATTCCATAGAACAGTGTTTTTTCAACCTGTGGGTCGCGACCCTCAGGGGGTCACAAAGCCTTACATGGGAATCGCGGATAAAAGAAAAAGACAAGTGTTTTTAGGTCCTACACTACAATAAAAAACCTACAATTTCAGTGAGAAGGCTGTGCCTGTTTATTTTACAGTACAATTGGTTTTTCAATCGATATTTAGGTCTCAACAGAAAGAAAATTAAATACATAGTTTTTAAAATCACTGATATAGTTTTAATATGGCCCTGGGAGGTCGTCAGAACTTTTTAAGTTGTAAAGGGGTTGCGTATTCAAGAAGGTTAAAAAACACTGCCATAGAAAATTCTGGATTTCATAACGATTATGATATTTGCTATTATAAAATACGGTTAATGTCCAGATACGTGGACTGTCATGGCGGCACTTCCTGTTTCAGCCTCGAAACTGGAGCAGTTTGGAGACGACATGTCACGTGACGACGCGAGCGAATGGCGGCGGCTGTCATGGCGCCTCATCGCTGATTCCAGCAAATAAAAGGAAACAGTGGGGACACACGTTCTAACCTAACCTAACCTAACCTAACCTATTCTAATAATATAATTGGTAATAATTATGCTAATTTATTAGAATAGGTTAGGTTAGGTTAGAACGTGCATCCCCACTGTTTCCTTTTCTTTTCTTTGCCGGAATCAGAGGTGAGCCGCCATGATAATCCACGTGTCTGGACTTTAAACAAGAAAAAAGAAAAGGAAACAGTGGGACACACGTTCTAACCTAACCTAACCTATTCTAATAAATTATCATAATTATTACCAATTATATTATTAGATTAGGTTAGATTAGGTTAGGTTAGGTTAGAACGTGCGTCCCTACTGTTTCCTTTTCTTTTCCGGAATCAGAGATGAGCCGCCATGACAGTCTACGTATGTGGACGTTAACCCGCGCATCGGTTTTCCCCGTTTATCGCGGCGCAGCAGCCGCCGCCGTTCACTCGCATCGTCACATGACATGTCGTCTCCAAACCGCTCCGGTTTCGAGGCTGAAACAGGAACTGCCGCCATGACAGTCCACGAATCTGGACATTAACCTAAAATACATTTGAAACATTAAAATTATTAAATAATTGCATAAATCTTTATCTGTACAGTACATATCAATAAACTATAACAACAACAACATAATCTATAAATTATTTAATATATTTATCTAAATACTTATATTAAATTACACATAAAATAAAATTAAAATGAATGGATATTTCTTACTCTAAAGTGTCATGTCTAAACCATGCCCAAAGCTCAGCTCCAGGTGGTGCATCTTTCAATGGATATCCCCATTTTTTGTGTCTCCATCTCCCTTGAGTTAAACTTAAGTGTAATTCTTGAACCCGGTGTTTCGTGACAATCTGTCCAATGGATCTCGGAAACAAACGAAAATGACGGACTGAAAACACCAAACGATTAAAATAAATAAAAATATTGGAATTATCGTAAGAAAATAATTGAAAGCAAACCAACGCGCATCATTTTGATCCAAATCCACATTCCATCTAATAGGAAACTGGAAATATGCATACACGTGCCCACTCGGAAGAGGTTTAATAATTAATTCTTCACTAAAAATATCTGATTCAATTGCAGAACATGTTCCTATAATCGTTAAAAATACACATGTAAAAATCGACATACTGGACGGCGCCATATTACTAGCATACCGCATAATACAACAATTTTATTCAAAAAAAACAAACTTCTCGAATATTTTACTAAAATAACATATAATTTAATTTTTATATATTTTTATAAATATTAATTTAAATCAAATATTTGATTTTATCGTTTATAAATATATAAATATTTTATTAAAATATTTCAAAAATTTAATAAATACATTTACGACATTTATTATAGCGATATTAATTAATTTAATAATAAATACACGCTTAAATTGAATACATTTTTGGTAAATTTTATCAAGTAGAATATTAACCAATAACACTCATGACCGTTATTCAACCCATCATTAACAACAAGAAGCACATGGACAATGGAGGAGAGGACGGAAATTAAATAAAAGAGTAATTTGTGATATACAAGAAATTTTCGTATAAATAATTAACTCGGATAATCTTTATAATCTTTCAATGCTATAATTAATCAAAGCAATAACGTATTGAAATGCAAAAACTAAAAACTGATAATGGATTGGAATTTTCTTTTAGTTTTTATGAGAATTTTATTGATGTGTGTTGTTTGTAGTAATTGGATATTAGATTTCTTGCCTTATAAGATACGAATTGTTTATAAAAAATTTATCCAGCCGTCTAGGGAGTGACTCTTTTTCTTTTGTTTGTTTGTTTTATTTGTTTTTTTTTATAATCTGACTGAACAAATGATTAAAAGGGCAGCTATAATTCAAGGTAAGGATCAATATATTCGATTATATTCATGTATACTTAATCGTACATATATATTATTGTAAACTTTTACCATTTTAATCTTTAAATCTTCGCCGATTAGCTATTTTCTTACGAAAATAGTAAAACAAATTCTATCCCGCAAGTATTTTTATCAATACATTTCAATTTCAACAGATTTCACGTGTTTAATATTCAATTATATATTAATATATTTTCGCATCAACCTCTGAAATTTCAGCATATTTATTTAGAAAATTAAACTGTCAAAAATTATATGTATATATATTGTAGGTTATAAATTTACTTATTTTTCATCTTAAATTTAAAATTTTAATATAATTAACTCATTTATGAAGGTAAAGAATAGATTTTATTTGGCAGATTGCATTAAACAAAAAATTTTTTATGGAGTTGAAATTGATTTCTTCATATTAACTGTTATATATTATGTATTATATATAAACTGAATCTTAATAACTATCTTCAAGTTTTGTTTATTTAAATCATTACTTATTTTTCTGAAAATGTCAAGATTTTTTACCGAAAGCCAAATACTAAATTACACTAGCTACATTTGCTTCTAAATTTAACTCTCCGTGTATTTTAAAATTTAAAGAGCTTTTTATGTAAACAGGAAGTATTGTCTGTGATCTGTAAAGCATTTAAAAATATAAATTTTAAAAATTTTCTAATTTTAATCTGATTATAATGTATAGATTTATATTGTGAAACAAGATTAGTTATTCTATAATAAATACAGTATTTCAAGCATAAACTGTTTTCAGTCATGTTTCTATATTAATATTTTAAATTTGTTAAAATATATATTAGATAAACGACTTCCAACAACTTAACACTACGTTGAATAATAACAATCCACGAAAAAACGTTTTTTACGCGTGTTATGTCACAATTAAATTCCACAAGTGCTATATATATTAGATATTAAATTATAAAATGAAAGTTAACATAATAATAATGATTAGATAATTGATTTTTAAGAAATAGACATTATACATTGATCTTTAATCAATGTATAATGTCTAATCAACAAACTGTTTATAAAATGATCTTTAATTAATAACTTTAAAATAACCTTAATTATTCTATTTCTAGAAATTTCTTCACAAATGTAATTATTTTCTGTTATAAAATACAGCATCTTTATTTTAAATATTAATTATATAAATATGTTTAATTAATTTACCAGATATTTTGTAATTGTAATATAGAAGTTTTTTATTTTAATTGCTTTAAAATTTTCATTGATGCTGAATTGTAAAATTTTATCACAGTTTAATAAAGCTGAGATTATTTATATACACTAATAATACTGATAACATATTCACTATTCCAAAAATTTATTTTGTGTTGTTTTGATTTATCATCACTACAAAATGTCCTCTTGTTATTATGTTTAGAGTTAACATGACTTTTTATCAATAGATATATTTAAATTACAAAAAATTTCTTTCATATTTTATCATATTGGAAAGAACTTTGTATTTTTTTTTTTTTTTAATGAATATTGTGTGAAATAATATATGAAAAATATTTAGAATTTTTTTTATTCTTTTAATAATTATTTTAAATAATATTTCTTACTAATGAAATACTAGTGAAAATTGGCCTTTTTATATTTTAATTAATGTATAAACTTATATATTGTATTAATATAAACCTTTGAATTTGACTTTTACAAACTTATGTAAAAAGAAAAGAACAAATTTTAGTTTTTCCTATTTATTGAAATAAAAATAAAATTTAAAACTAAAAACAGTAATAACATACAACAGCTGCAAATGCTTAATTTGATATAAGACAAAATAATAGAATGTGACCAAGTATTAGTCATTCACATTTGAAAAAACATAATAATATTACTAATATTATTGAAAGCATGCTTAGTTTTTACTTTTAATTTATATTACATATATAAATATAAAAAACAAATTGTAAATGACCTTTTAAAGAAATCACTTTACTAAATAGTCTATATACACAGGGGATATTTATAGGCTATCATTGTGTATTATAGGCTAATTAAGTGTGTATAAATAGAGAATAGCTAGAATTTAACAATTTTATTTTATAGTTTATTATACTAAATAATGAATTTTAATTTTTGTTAACTTATTTAAGTTGATATATGTTGTAATTAGATAAATTTACAGATATATTATATGTATTCTATAAACTCATTATGGCTTTAGCATATACTGCATAAAAATATTAATCTAGTAAAAATTGCAATTAAAAATAGTATGTGACAGTAAATTCTATTTAATAATTATTCAGCAATCATGTATCATTCAAATTCTCCTAAAACTGATATTTTAGCAGAATTTGAATGATAAATGATTATTTAATAGAAATTAATGTCATGTACTGTTTTTAATTGCAATTTTTACCACTTTAATATTTTTATGTAGTATATGCTAAAGCCATAATGAGTTTACAGAATATATATGATATATCTGTAAATTCATCTAATTACAACATAAATCAAAGTAAATAAGTTAACAAAAACTAAAATTCATTATTTAGGTTAATAAACTATAAAATATTATTATTAAACTTTATGTATTCTGTATTCACACATACACACTAGTAAAAATTGCAAGTATGAATATTTTTGTAATAATCATATAGAATAAAAAAACATTTTTGTTTTTATAATATGTAATTGAAGAATTAATCTTAGAATTTAAATCATTTTAAAAATAAAAATATGTAGGAAATACACTTTGTGTATCTACTTACATATTTATTTAAGCTAATAAAATTACAAGAAAAAAGATTTTATTACTTATTTACTCTTTAATTAGATTTTAATATAAAATTTTGATTTTGATAAACATGTTTTTAATTTTTATATTATATTTTTCTTGGTTTTTAATAACATTGTGATAAAACAATAATGTTTTCATTAGTTAAATTGTAATCATTCTTATATATTTCTATACATAAATATGTATATAGGAAATTAATTTATTAGTTAATAATGATTTAAAATAATTCTAGCAAAACTTTAATCATTATGAAAAAAGAAATCAGAATAAATATAGCATCAGAATAAATATAAAACAGGTATATAAATATTATTTGTGTATTAATAATGATTTATTTTTTCTATGCCCATTATACTTTATATTAATGCATTATTAATTTAAACAATATGAGAATTACATAATGCATTTCAATATTTGAAAATTCATTAAATCAGTTTTTTTTTCTAAACTCATAAACATAGTCTAAACAATAAGTTATTACAGTAGAGTCTCGAAAACTTGGCCTAATGTGGACCAAAGGATGGCCAAGTTTGTGAAAATGCCGGATTATCGGGAATGGGGTTAAAAAAAATAAGTATGAGTGTTTCCTCAGAAAATACTGTACTGTACTTATATGTATTGTTTACTTGAGAATACAACAGAGAATAAACTGCCCAAATACCCTTAAACAAAGGAAAAGTTTGTCCTTTATGAAGGCATAGAGCCTTTACTACATGAAAATGAAAATTAATGAATACACTGTGTACAGTAATTTACCTGATAAGACAGACCTCAGAAAAATACTTTATGAGGCATAAAGCTGTCTATAATGAAAATTAATTAACTAAGGATTTTTTTGCCCTGCCAGGGTGTGGCCGAGTTATCTGGAGTGCCGAGTTTTCAAGGCTCTACTGTACCCAGTATGTGGATGATATTTTGATTATATGGAGTACTAAACCTCATATATGGATGGTGTTAAAAGTTTTTAACAACAGCTACGGACTAACACTAGGATTAGATCAGGAAAGTTACACATAGGTTAATTACTTGGACATCAAAGATTCGAATGTCAAATAGAAATATAACGACGATTTATTGCAAACCAAGTACATTCCCCTCTTTTTGATTGCTAACTCAGCTGACCCTTGGCCTTTTAAGGTAATGGCATGCATTCTAGTTACAGGGGCTTATTCGCATTTCTCTGAGACATCCAATACCAACAACAAACTTGAATGTGTCAAATGTACAGCTCCGCCCATGGGTATAGCTATTCGTTAACCAGCACATTCACTTTCACATAGCAATCTAAGTTATCTAACACCAGTACAAGGGTTAACAAAGCAGAGTATAATTGTGTAGTTATAGGTTACGAACTGTCTGTACATCAAATTTACAATAGGATTGCTAGTGATTTAAATTTGTGCTTAACTTGTAAAAGATAACCCAATGTTTTCTGCCTTTTAGCTAATGCAAAGGACAGGTCGGATAACACAAAAGCTCCAGGGATTTACCGTATTCCATTACAAGATGGACAATTTAACAGGTATATGTCATACATTGGATCCACATATGGATCCCATCAAGCCAGAATAAGCAACCAAAAATATGATGTGGCTAAGGGAAACTATAAACCTGTTATGCTGCTGAACCTGAAGTTTCCCCTGTTGGGATGAAGCTACTCTTTTACATAGGGTCTTTGACCAACATGACATATGATCTTTGGAAGCTTTAGAAATTTATAAAGTTTGAATGATAGAACTGTTTTTATGTATTCATTCTTGATGATGGCCGAAAACATTTGAGCAGTAAATTTTTTGTTTATTGTTTGCTGGAAATCACATTCAGTTGTTGGTTATTAATATTCTGTTTACCTTATAATAAATTATTGACCTTTCATAAAAAGATTGATCAATTATCATATTTATATTATTTTTTTATTAAAATATAGTTTAAATATGACATTTTAATAAACTTGGAGTAAGGTGCAGTTGTTACATGAGTTGTATGTAAGCTCTGATTCAATAAATAATTACCTAGAATTAATTTTGATAGCTTTTCAGTAGTATGGAATGGTTATAATATAATTTTTTTTTATTCAGTAATATTGAATGAAGACTCTGAATTGATTTCATGAAATTTGATAGATGTGTTCTTTAGAATAGGTAAAAAATAATTTTATAAAAAAATCTGCAAATTTAGTTTAGCCACTTGAAGAAAAGTAAAGCTGTGTGAGGCAAGAGTTGCCTCTACTACATGATTTAGTGTGATAGGATGGATATAAGTAAGAGTAAATAAAAAGATTATGAGTAAAATAAGTTATTTTTCTGAATTCATCATTATTTATATTCTTATTTAATTCTGAATTCATCATATTATCAAATTATTATGTTTTATATTGCTATTTATTAGTAGAATAAAATCAGTTTGTGCTTTTTTGCTATATTTATTGAGAAAACATAAACCATCAAAAATATCAGTAGGTTTTTCAATGACTATTACCTAGGCATAAGCTAACAGTATATATTATACAGTAGCTAGCTATATCTATATGTATCATAAAATGTAATATAGATATAAACAATAGTGCTTTACTTTTCTTCCCTGAAACTAATTTTTCTTTCATGGAATTTTTTTTTTATATAATCTGAAGATGGTTTTCTTCAAGTTTTTATCTGACTATTACATTCTGCTAAATAACTATGTTAAATGAGAATAATTGCTTTATTACTACCCAGCATATAATGGTCAAAATTTTCATAACTTTTATTTTTATATAGAGAATGAGTTACAATAAATTTATATTTATTGTATCTAATTAATTTGTCTAATTATGTCTAATTATTTTAAAATTTTTAAAGTGATTCTTTTCAGCTTTAGATTCATTACATAATTCATACAGTTTTATAATTTTTTAAAATTAAATATGAATAATATTGAACATTAACTTATTTAAATAATTATTTTATTAATTTAAAAAAAATCTGAAATAATATAAATTTTTTGAATACATCTAAAGTAGCAGGCAAAGATTCTATAAAAAAATTAATTTTGAAAATATGTTCTTTGTAATTTGAGGTTGTTTTTGTTGGAAATTTTTTAAATTTAATTTCATAAACAATATTTTCACAATAAGAAAGAAGTAATGATTTATTTATTTTATTGCTATTTCCAGAATTTGGTACTCTCTATGTAATTGTTCGACCATGAAGCAAGAAACAAAGATAGAAAAATTTTCTATGTCTGGAAATAAATCGCCACCTCAAAGACCCAAAAGAAATATTGCCCAGAAAAGCATGGTGAGATGAAGTGTAAAAAATTTTATAACTCGTTTACAGAATATTTTATTATTTTTATTTATTTATTACACTACTATTCAGTGAAAACAGAACATTTAAAACAAATATCAATAAAACTTTCATATCTGTTACATTTATTTTTGTTGAAACAGAAAATTATACCATTCAATTTTTCAGTATATACTAAGATTTTCATTAATGATACTATATAGACTAAATGAAATAAGGCCATAGATTAATTAAGATTATACAGTTAATGTATACATTATATAATCTTGATGATTATATAATGCTGCATAATCTTGTTTCTGGAGCATTCAATGAAGAGGTCTTTACTTGTACTTTTCTTAAACTGAGCTTATTCATTCTCAGATTTTTTTTTGCATTTAGAAGAAAAAACTGATATTATTGGATTTTCTTTTCATCACCTAGAAAATTTCAATAGGGATAAATCAGGAACTATGGAAAACTGAAATAACAAATTCACATTATCATAATGATATTGTATTAAAGCTATCATAAAATTAGGCAAATATGTTATCTGTGATCATAAATATGACTGGTGTAGGTTCTAAATATTTTATGCATTTACTGGTAAGTTCATAATGGATCTGGACTAAAATAGACTTGCTTTTAATTGTTTTATTCTCTTGTAAATGAAAACTCTCTTCCTGATTTTAAGTCAGTCAAATTACAATGTTGTTATTTTATTGTACTTGGAAGAATGTTTTCTTTAATGTTTAATTAACAACTACTTTTGTTAGGTCTGATTAATTTTATATTTTAATCAAAGTTTAGCCAGCATGCTAGTCTCCCATAATTTTATGAAGCATGCCAGTCATTCTACGAAAATACGGTAAGCATCAAAACTTTGCTAAGTTTTGTTTCTTTTTTCAGTTCAATTAGTACAAACTTTGTGCACTCTTATATACTGATATTTTTTTGAAGGATTACTTTCTCTCACATAATCTCTCTCAAAATTTGTCTCTTGATGCTCTCTTTCTCTCTTTGTCTTCTAGATATCAGTGATGTGATAACAAGCCAGAACAACTCTGATCTCTGCTAAACAAAATCTTTAAAATCATTATCAATACTTCCAGATAAATTTAGATTTTTTCATGCTGTCATTGATTATTCCTCATAATACTTTTCTTTATTTTGATTGAAAATGTCATCAATTAATGTGCTGTACAAGAAATCTCATTCTGCTAATCACAAATCATTAATATGTAATTCTTCCTCACATGTTCTGATTAATATAACTGAATAATGGTGTATTTTAAAAGTAAATAATAGTTTTCAATATGTATCAATAAAATTATATGTATATTTTGAATTTATTACAATTAATAAAATTTTGTTATTTTATGCATTTACAATTTCTGTAGTGAGGCAAAAAGATACATCACTTCAAAAAAATATTTCTTGAGTTAATAATTTTAATGTCAATGAATAAAATATTGACTTTCAATGATTTAATGATTAACAATTAATGACTTAAATCCAAAATTTCAAAGATTGTTTAATTGATGATTTAAACATGTGTAAACTAATTTTTATTTTATTTATTTATTTATGTTGATTTAAGGATTAAGTGAGAATAATTTTTTGTATATAGATAATAATTCAGTAGATAAAGTTAAATGTAAGACATACATTTTACATCAATTGTAAGATGTGTCTTACATTTGATGTAATATGTTATAATTGACAACCTCTACTCCCGTGCAGTTTATTTCTCTGTAATTACTTCCATTGCATAATTTTAATGATTTATTAGACCAATATTCACAATAGAAAATATTTAAGAGGTCAACTTATCTCAATTTCATTAGTCTATTACAGTAACATCGTAAGTACTTGGATGAAAATCCCAAAAAAAGTTGTATAGCACTTTTTCAAGAAATGTCACATTTCCAACACTTTAAATGGCACTAAGTATGATTAAATGGGGAAAGATGTAAACATCAAATCCAGTGTTGCTTATTATAATCTAAATTTACTAAAATTAAAACTACACATGTATAATGATTACGATTAATACTAATACTCAGGAATGAGACTAAAATTGTCTATTTAAACAAAAAAAATTGAGGGTATGCATGTAGAAATTAAGGTCTATCTTAGATTTGAGTAAATATTGTATTATATCACATTTCAAATTATAATGTAAATATTTCATAGAATGATCATTTAAAATATCAAAGATTTAATCATCCAACTTTTAATATTTAACATGACTTGGAATTAAGACAAAGATGCAAAACTTCTACTAAAGAATTGCTTAATAAATATTTTCAAAACTACAGATTATGAAATCTTTTAAGTTAAATTTTATCAAAAAAATCGTGGATTATTTATACAATCAATCTTATTTAGAATAAAATAATTTCATTTTGGACTCTCATAAAAATTTGTATTGAAAATATTTCAAATTTGTTACATTATCAATAACAATGGAATATATAAATAGAAATCTAGTGTTATCAGTTTACACTTTTATATATGTAGTACAGTCATAAATGTTTATCGTGAAATAACAAATTTTAAGTCACTTCATAATTATTTATTTCATTTGTGATTTTATCTTTCTTGAAAAATGTACAAGATATTGATTGTGCCTAACATTAGTTAACAGTGCTTTCAGAAAATTTGATTTTTATTATATTTAAATAATTGAACTCTTTTTTACAATCTGCAGAACTTTGAAAGCAGTGAAGGAAAAAAAAAAATTATCTTTATATTTGATCTCTTCAAATGCGAGATAAGCAAAAATCTTTTTTGAAAGTTTTTAATTTAATTTTATATTGTTTTTTTGCATTACTCTAAAAAAGTTAAACAATTATTTAATAATAATAGTTTTTTTCTTTCTAGTTATCTTTTCTGGAACTAGTTTTAAATTCATAAATTATTATTATTATGATAAAAGAATAATAAATAATCAAAATATTCCATTTTCTAGCTAGAATTTGTTTAAAAATAATTACACTATTGTCTACTTGGATTGGATGTCACACCAACAGTTGTGTTAATTCAATTAGAAACTTCAGATAGGAGGCATTAAAGAGAATTAAAAGGAATATTTTAATCTTGCAAGCACTTTCAACATAAATATGTACGTCATCCTCAGGCAATTCAAAATTGAAAAGAGAATTCATACAGAACATTTAAATTTAAGCATTAATGATATTAGCCGTTTTTGGAACATAGCTATTAAAGTAAATAAGATTTAAATTTTAGAATTAAAAACATTTAAAATTGGCGCGCATGCGTCTTAAAATAAATAAACCTTGATTGAAATGGCTATTAATTAAGATCATTGAAATTTAAAAGCCTTTTTTGTAAACACGAAAAATTGGCATGCATGCACTTTAACATGCATAACTAATTGGCACGTGCACCTTAACATGCATAGATAATTGGCGCGTGCACCTTAACATGCGTAGATAATTGGCTTTTATGTTAAGGCGCACATGTTAAGGCATGTTAAGGCGCACATGCGCCAATTTTTCGCATTTACAAAAAAGGCTTTTAAATTTCAATGATCTTAATTAATAGCCATTTCAATCAAGGTTTATTTATTTTAAGACGCATGCGCGCCAATTTTAAATGTTTTTAATTCTAAAATTTAAATCTTATTTACTTTAATAGTTATGTTCCAAAAACGGCTAATATCGTTAATGCTTAAATTTAAATTGTTCTGTTCGAATTCTCTTTTCGATTTTGAATTGCCTGAGGATGACGTACATATTTACATTGAAAGCGCTTGCAAGATTAAAATATTTCTTTTAATTCTCTTTAATGCCTCCTAGTCTAAAGTTTCTAATTGAATTTATATTATTATCAGTAATAAAAATTACTATTATAATTCTTGTTCGTCTTTATTATTATTATGTTGGGTTTAGTGGGTTATACTCGGTTCACACCGGTGGCTGTGTACTATGCCAGACCAGAGTCAAGGCATAGCAACCAAAACAAAACTAAAATTAAATAAGTGTGTCAGTGTCTGTATTCAGGAATTTCCTAACAATATGGCATGTATTCAATATAGTGGCCTTCTGTAGTGTGATGTATGTATTTCTACTCAATTGTAATGTTCCCAGGCTTTTGTGTAGTGTGTGTGGTATCACACTTGTACAGGAGAGAACAACAGGTACAATAAGAACCCTATCCATCCTCCACAGATGCCTTATTTCCTGGGTGAGTTCTGTGTACTTGCTAATTTTTTCAGTGCATGTGTTTTGTACATAGTGAGTGTTTGGAATGGCTATGTCTATAACATATGTGATTTTTACGTATTATATAGGTAAATGTCTCTTCAATCCGAAATTTTGTTCGGATTGAAGAGACATTTACCTATATAATACATAATACAGCTACCATTAAAAAATTCAACAATATGTGATTTTATTGTGTTTGTCAATGAGTGTGATGTCTGGTCTGTTGTGGTAAATTGTTTTATCTGTGATTACGGCTCTGTCTTAGTACAGTTTGTGCATGTTGTTTTCCAATACTGTCTGAGGAATGTATTTGTAGTATGGTTCGTGGATGTCTAATAATTTGTGTTTGTTTGCAAACTCTTGGTGTATTATATTTGCTACTTAATTATGTCTGTGTAAATAATCTGTCTGTGCCAAGAGCTTGCACCCAGAAGTGATGTGTTGTATAGTTTCTGGCATGATGTGACATTTTCTGCATGTGTCATTTG